GGAGGGGGAGGCAGAGGAGGAAGAGGAGGAGGAGGAAGAGGAGGAGGAGGAGGAGGAGGAGGGGGAGGCAGAGGAGGAGGAGGAGGAGGAGGAGGAGGGGGAGGAGGAGCAGGAGGAGGAAAAGAGGAGAAAGTAGGAGGAAGGAGGAGAAGTACGAGGGAAGAGAAAAAAGAGGATGGAGGAGGAAGAGAGGTCAGGTCAGGTCACGCCCGTGAGCCGGAAGGCGAGCCCATGAAGGGCGCAGGCGGTGGCAATCGGCAGCGTGCAATACACGTGCGCGCCACATTTAAGGAAAACAGTACGTGCGTCTAAAAAAGGGAGGACGCATTCACCTGGCCTATCGTTGTGGTGGTGCGCTCGAGCGTGAAGCAGATATTTAGGTAGCGGTGTCAGACAGCAAGGCGTTCGCACAATGTTTGCCCCTCTGTTGCGTTGGATCAAGACGCGGAGTGGAGAGAAGACATACTCCGTCACACGTTCACCGACAATGGCAGCACAAGTGTTGAAACTCCGCGGCTCGCTCCTGGAAAACATCTGGGGACCAAGAACGCCATTGAGAGCCAACCACGCGGCCGAAAACTTCCAATTTGCTTGTCCATGTAAGAGTCGGCCGCCCTGCTGCACGATGACCGCGCGGTGACCAATTCAGAACTCTGACGATGTACCTTGTCTCTGGTAGCTGCTGGACATATAGTGCAAACGACAAATACTGGTGAACGCATTGTTCTGCCCATGTGCGAATGCCAGCACCGTTGACGAAGTTGTGTGCACGCTCGTGCCAAACATGTAGTACATCATGCCTCGGTGCGTCCCAATCAACGCCCGGAGGTGGTCCAACGATCTGTCGTACGAGGCGTCGGAATTCGATATCCATTGTTTTCAAATCTTCCACATATATTGGGCGATGCCCTGCTGCAAAACACGCCACTGATGTTACGACAGAATTGAACAATTTCAACCTCTGAGTGATAGAGGCTCTCTTATCGCACAGAATACGGCGATTCGCATAAAATGCTTTGGCTGCACCTTGCATGTGGTAATTCAGATCCAGAGTGCGGGAGTCCGCCCCCCTGTGGACAGCATGCAACCCAACCATTTATGAGCCGAGTCTCGGTGGATCACGTCCATTGTCAACCCTTCCTGCGTGCGGATCGTGGAGGGAGCTTGTGCCATAGTGGTCAACGCCTTGGTCTTCTTAGCGTTGAGAACAAGCCCTACCTTGCGCAGCTCCAACACGAGCGTGTCGAGTAATAAACACACATCCTTTTTTCCGAATATGCGAAAAGAAGCCAGTCGTCTGCGAATCGCAAGTTCGTCAAATGCTCTCCGCCATCTCCAAGATCTATTCCCAGATGTCCAACGTTCTGCTTCCAGCGCGACAGTGCCCACTCCATGGCGGATGTGAACAACTTAGCACTCAGCGCGCACCCTTGGCGGACGCCCGCGGAAATTGAACATTCATCACTGTAGGTGCTCTCACCCGCAATGGCACCAACTCGATCCGCATAGAGTTGTCGAATGAGACATACCATATGTTCGGACACCCCATGATCATGGAGTGCTTGCCATAGTGGGTCCCATGCCACCTTGTCAAACGCTTTCGATAAATCCAAACTGACGGTCCAAATAGGTAATCCTACGGCGAGCGTTTTCTGGAAGACAATGTTGGCAGTAACCACGTGTTCCTCGAGGCGACGGCCAGACCGGAAACCATGTTGCTCTTCTGGTTGCGCATGTTCCAAAGAATTTTCAATCCGGCCCAAAACCAAGTAGGAGAACAACTTGTATAACAGCAGCAAGCATGGAATAGGCCTGAAGGCCGAAACTGCTTTAGCGCTGGCCATTTTCCCCAGCATCTTGAAAACTGTACGCTTCCATTCGTCTGGGACAATGCCGTGCGTGAACACCGGGTTGCACAATCTCAAGGCAGTAGTGCGGAAAAGCGGCGGGCTATGATGCAAAAGATCTGCAACGAGACCTTTGGTATCTGCAGCCTTGTTTTTCCTCATCCGGTCAATGGCGATGTCCAACTCGTCCTCGTCAAAACTAGGCTCGGTGATGGAGGAACTCGCCAGTGGGGATCGGTAAGTGCCACTGAAGATCTCACGCATGGCCAGAGCAAAGTCCTCGGGGCTCGGTTGAACTGCCTTCTTCCTGCCTGAAGAAGTGATCACCATCTGCCGCAATGCTTTCCATTTCGACGATTGGCCTATGTGAGCAGAAATCCGCGCAGATTGCCAAAGGCGCCATTCCTTCCGCATCGCACGGCGGATCTTGAAACTAAGGTATTTCCTCTCTTCCTGTCTGCCCGCGCGGCGTCGAGCTAGCCTCAAACTGAGGAGGAGAAGTAGGAGGAGAAGTAGGAGGAGAAGTTGGAGCACAAGGGAGCACAAGGGGGATGAGGAGGGGAGGAGGAGTTGGAAGATGAACAGGGGGAAGGGGAGGAGGAGGTGGAGGAGGAGGAGCAGGAGAAGGGAGGAGAGATAAGGAGAATGAGGGCAGAGAAAAAGGAGGGTGAGGGAGGAGGAACGAGGAGGAGGGAGGAGAAGGAGGCGGAGAGCGGACGGATGAGGAGCGCCTCGGAGACGAGAGAATGCAAGCAAGGAATGGAGGTGCAGCCGACATTTGGGTGCCCCCCGACATCGTGTGCTTCAGCCCGACGCTCCCGCAGGCGTCGTCGCGCGCGTCTCGGCGGTACCGCCGCAGCTGCGGAATCGCCGGGAGGGTGAAGCTGCCGGCGGTGGTCGGGTTTTCCGCCATGGTGTCCAGGCTCTCCTGCAAAGACGGCGACACTGGGGCGCAGAGGGGCATCTCCCCTTGGAGGCGCACGACCGGACCGAACAGAGAGCACACGCGTCTTGCGGCATGTCGTCACCCCGGCGCTACGGCCAGAAAGCGCCCGACACTGAGCACACTTCTCCCTCGCAAACACATGAGCATGCCTCGGTGTTGGCCTTGCAGCTCGGGCGCGTGCCGTGCACGGCGGGAGCCAACTGAAGAGAGATCGCTCGCGAAGCAGATCCGAAATCCCCATCCTTAGGGTTATGTCGGGCCTGTCCCCCTACAGGGGGATTGTCGACGAAAATAAAAAATATCAAAACAATAGCCCAAAAAGGCAAAAAAATACCCCCAAAATAGTCCCCAGACTATTTTTGGATCATTTGGGGGATATGTTTTATTTTTCGTCGAAAATCCCCCTGTAGGGGGCCAGGCCCGACTGAACCTTAGGGCTGGAGGCCGACGCTGCACTGTGCGGCGCTGTGCCGCCCAGACCGCAGCGGCCCGCCACAAAGCTCAGGCTGCAAGCTGCCCGAACGAGCGCGCGCGTCGCCCTGGGGCGAAGGGGCCCTGGGACACACAAAGAAATGCACACAAATAAAAGATATTCCCCTCAGTTTCCCATATGTCCTGTACTTTCCCATACTTCCCCCCCCACTTCCCATACTTCCCCATAGTCTCCTGGGGGTCGACGATTGATTGTGTCTGTGTGTTTTGTTCCCCTCCTTATTGGGGGGGCCGGCGCACACGTGGCCTAACGATGCCCGGGCGCTGCCGATGCGAAGACGGCGACGGCGCCAGCGTCGACGCCAGCGGAGTTACTGTCGGGGCAGCGCTTGGTTTCTCAACGTCGGCCTCCGAAGCCTGCTTTCAGGTCCCCACAGGGCATTTTTTACTACATGGGATTGTTTTTAATGTTTTTTTTTTTTGTAAAAAATGGGATGTTTAATACATGAACCGTTTGTGAATAAAGGTATGCATGAACTCATCGTTGCTTCTGATGCCAAATCCCTGCATGTTTTAAACATGATCCGCACGCGGAGCATGTATCAAAAACGGCACTGCACTGTCGGGGCAGCGCTCGGTTCCTCAGCGTCGGCCTCCGACGGTTGCTTTCGGGCCCCCAGGCTCGTCGGCCGTGGAGCCGGACGCCCGAAAAGCTGCAGGGGGGGGATCGGTCCAGGCCCTGCCAGGGGTCCGCGGGTGGAAACAGGCGTACCGTCGATTGTGTCTGGCCTCTGGCATGCTGTTTGGGCTCCCCATGCTGGGATCAATTTTTTTCGAGCAAGTGGCACCACAGATGAGGAAAAAGACGCGTCTCAAATGCAACCTCTTTGTTGCACCATACCGAGCACACCACGCCCCTGGACCCTTCCCCATGCTGGCATCGAGGAGTGAGGATAAGAAGGTGTTTGCCTGTTGTTGGAAGGGTGTTTTGCCTGTGGTTGGCCTCCTTGACCTCCTCGTTGCCGCGGCTGCGTTCGCTTCGGCCTGCTGGCCAACACGCATCCCAGGAGGTGTCCAGGGGCCAATTCTGAGGTGCAGGGAGTCTGTCATGCTGGTGAACGTTTTTGGATTCGGCGTTTCGACATTGGGCGGAAGGGGGGGGGGTCTGGCTCCAGACCCCTGCTCAGCGCGACTGTTTGCAACAGTGCTGCCTCTGGGGGTTACTCCACCCGCCTGAAACAGGTGCCCAGAAACAGCCAAGATCCACTCCACGGGGGGGGGAGAAGTCAAACAATCCGCCCCCATTATAACCACCCCGACACGCGAAGTCGTTTAGTAAACGCGCCGAAGATCGAACAGGGCAGGGCTGTTGAATAAACGCCCAAGGCCGATTAGTAAACGCGTATCGCCCAGTCCCGGGTAATTTGTCCTGCCTTGGGAGCGGGGAAGGAAGAGGAAGCAGATCCGCGGCACTCAGATCGGGACTGCAAACTACTGCACCGAGAAAGCTCTCCTGCGAATCGAGACGGAGGCCAGCTACGAGCAAAGCCAGGCGCGGGGCGCGGGTAGCCCAACGATCTCTCTGAGAACTCGCGGGTCTGGGCGCACGTCTGACGCTGACCTTTGGGCTTCGCAGGTCGCCCCGCGGTGGCTCCTCGTCCTGAGCCGCCTGCGCAGGCACAGTCCGCTGCCGCGCAGCCGACCGCAGCTTTGCCCGTGGCGCGCCTCGACGCTGCGGACAACAAGAAGGCTCACGCTTACGGACACCAATCAGTTTAAGTCGGGCGTGTCCTCTACGGGCGGATTGTGGACGACAAATAAAACATACCCCAAACATTTTCAAACTAGAACCATCGCGCGCGCTTCGTGCGCGCTGGAGCCTCTTTTGGGCTTCTTGGGAGCCTCTTGGGGCTTCTTGGGGGCCACTTGGGGGCCTCTTGGGGCCTCTTGGGGCTTCCTGGGGGCATCTTGGGGCCTCTTGGGGGCATCTTGGGGCAGAGAGCTTGATTTTTCGGTTCGCATTCCCTCTCTTGGGCCCCTTTTGGGGCCTTCTTGGGACCCTCTTGCGCCGTCTTGGGCGGCTCTGGGGCTGTCTCGGGGCTCTCTCGGGCCGTCTTGGGGCTCTCCTTGGGGCTCTCTTGGGGGGCCTCGGCCTCTTGGGCCGTCTTGGACAGGTTTTGGGAGCCTCTTGGGCGGCGCTTTAGCGCCGGAAACACGAAACAGCGAGAATGCAAAAAACATTTGAAAAAAACAACAATCAAAATCAACGATGGGCGGCATCTTAAAAGCCTCTTGGGGCGTCTTGGGGGCCTCCGGGGCAATTTAAAACGCATCGTGCGTTGGCAGAGACCTCTGGACTGCATCTTGGAGGTGTCTCGAGACCGTCTGGGGCCGCCGGGATTGCTGTCTGAGGGCTCCCCGGGGCGATTTTAGGCCTCCCAGAGGCGGGCCCGGGCCCCGGGGCCCCACATTTGCGGTCGAGGCTCCGGCCCCCGGCCCCCGGACCCAGTCCCCCGTTATATGATAAATAAGCACAACAAATCAACAAATCGTCCCCGGACTATTGATTTACTATTTTTGAACTTTCCCCCTGTAGAGGGACAGGCCCAACTTAACCCTACCCCGCTGCCACTGCTGGGTCCTTGGACACGGTCAGCTCAAGCGTCGGGCTGCTGGAGGTGAGCGACTGCCCCTCGGCCACACCCACAAGGAGGGCCTGCGGCAGGGCACGCTGATCCCTCCAGTCTGGCCCCCCACCTCCTCCTCCTTCTCCTCCTCCTCCTCCCCCTCCTCTTCCTCTTCCTCCTGCTCCTCAGCATCCTCCTCTTTCCATCGGCGTTCCATTCCTATGATACATGTTCGGCGCGCTCGGACGTGAACGTGTGGTCCTCCTCCTCTTCTTCCACTTATCTTCCCTCCTCCTCCTCCTCCTCCTCCTCCTCCTCCTCCTCCGTTCCTCATCCTCCTCCTCTTCCCCCTGCTCACCCTCCAACTCCCCCTCCCCTCCTCGTCTCCCTCGTGCTCCAAGTTCCTCTCCTCCCCTTGAGGCTCGGGCTCAAGCATTTCCTGCGTCCGCCTCCCGCTTAACGTGTGCTGCGCCTTGAGGTGCGGTGCCCATGGCGCCGCGACGGAGGAGGTGCAGGCTACGGTAGCTGACCACAGCACATGCGTTTCATTGTGCCGTTCGAGTTGTTAGACGCGTCGCTGGGCAATCGACTTCATGAGTTCACGAAGTGCTCCGGAGCCTCCAACAACGAACTCGAGACCCCCGTCTGTCTCTTGAGCAGGGACTGACCGTCCCGGTGTGTGAAAGGTTTTTAGAACCCAGAAGTGTCCTAAGAACGAAACAGTGTCATTGGAACATGAACCCGATGTGTGAAAACAGGACGGCCCCAGCCAGGCAGGGTTCAAGAGTTCCCAGAACTTTCTCTGGTGGGCCCCGTGGGGAAGCCAGGGCGCTTCGCCGCTGCTCGAGCCCCTCGAGCCCCGAGAGCTCCTGCTCCCGCCACCCTCCGCCAGCCTTCCGCCCGTCCGGCGGTGGCTCGCGGTGTCCTGCGGTGTCACGAGGTGTCCCGTTGAGTGAGATCGGTCCCCAGACCCCCGACGTCATGATTTTTTCATGACGTCAACCCCCAGAGGTCCCGACCCTTTCCCCATGACCGGCTTTGCATCCTGAGTCGTTTTTTGACGCTCCCGAGGCCCGGTGAGGGCCCCCGGAGGCCGAAAATGAAGGAAAACCTTCCGTCATGAATTTTTCATAACTCGAGGGGGTCTGGGTCGTGAGATCGGTAGTGAGATCGATAGTGAGATCGAGGCAGTGCCCCGAGGTGTCCCGCCCGTGGTGCCCCCCGCGTCGCGAGGGGCGCGGAGAGCCGCCGAGCGGGGGCCGCGGGCCGAGGCCCCCCCCCCCCCCGAGGTGGTGCGCCCCCGGGGGGCGCGCTTTTCCGTCGCCCCGGCGGTCGGCGGCGAGCCCCGATCGTGTCGGTGAAGTCGAGCCTGCCCCCCGACCGGCGGGCTTCCGAGGAAGTGTAAAACTGGCCATCGCTCGGACGTCCATGTCCTGTGTTTTTTTCGTCGGCTTCGTGCGTGGCTTGTTTCGCCCAAGGATCAAGGATGCTCCTCGAGGGTCCTCGCCGAAGGAGACATGCACACGTCCGAGCGATGCCAAGAAACCATGCCCCCCCCAAAAAAACTCAAAGCATACGCAAAAAAGTGGTTAGAACACTGTCCCCTGACTATTTGTGGTCGACTATCTCTGAATCTTCCTCCTGTAGATGGGCAGGCCCGACTTATAACCCGAGGGGGAGGGGGAAGCGAGAAGGACCTGGACCCTATGTTGCATCCTCGGCAAAACAATGAACAAGGAAACTACCACGTGAGCGTCTCTTATTCGGCGTCTCGACATTGGGCGGAGGGGGGGGGGGCGGGGGGAGGTCTGGCTCTGGACCTCTGCTTCGTGCGGCCGACTGCAGCAGTGCGTCCCACGGGGGAGGCTCCTCCTGCTCGAAACAGGCGCCCAAACCAGCCAGGATCTGCTCCAGGATGGGGGGGGAGGGAGGGGAGAGGAGGCGGGGCCCCGCGCCGATCTGCACAACAACAAATAAAAACGATCACCTGTCTGAGCTCTCCTGCCATGGAACGAGAGGTGGAAGTCAAACAAGACACATCATTATAACCACCCCGACACGCGAAGTCGTTTCGCACACGCGTCCAAGACCCAACAGGGCAGGGCTACTGGACAAACACCCAGGGCCGATTACGAAACCCCAATCCTCCCGCCCGCCACTCGCACGATCACCAAGAAAACGATCACCTGCGACGACTGGCTCGCTTGACTCCTCCTTCTCCTCCTCCTCCTCCTCCTCCTCCTCCTCCTCCTCCTCGTCCTCCATTCCTCATGTTCCTCCTCCTCCTCCTCCTCCTCCTCCTCCTCCTCCTCCTCCTCCCGTTCCAACACATTGACTCCTCCTCCTCCTCCATTCCTCCTGTTCCTCCTCCTCCTCCTCCTCCTCCTCCTTCTCCTCCTCCTCCTCCTCCTTCTCCTCCTCCTCCCCCCCCTCCTCCTCGCGCAAACTTCGAGGGCCGCCTCGAGCGGCTGCTCTCTTCTTTCTCCCCGCTCCGAAAGCGCGGCGCGGGCGGGCTCGGCGCCCCCCCTCCCCTGGCCCGGCCGCAGCAGGCACGGCACGTCGGGTGGCCTGGATGGCTGCCTCCGGCCCTGGACTCCTCTCCTCCTCCTCCTCCTCTCCTCCTCCTCCCCTCCTCCTCCTCCTCCTCCTCCTCTCTCCTCTCCTCCCTCTTCTCTCTTGGTTCTTCTCCTCCTCCTCCTCCTCTCCTCCTTCCTCCTCCTCCTCCTCCTCCTCCCCCCCCCTCCTCCTCTCTCCCCTCCTCCTCCTCCTCTTCTCTCCAACTTTTCCTTCTCCTCCTCCTCCTCCTCCTCCTCCTCCTCCTCCCCCTCCTCTTCCTTCTCCTTCTCCTTTTCCTCCTTTTCCGCTTCCTCCTCCTTCTCCTCCTTTTCCTTCTCCTCCCTCTTTTCCTCCTCCTCCTCCTCCTCCTCCTCCTCCTCCTCCTGCTCCAAGGTCTTTCCCAAAACGCGGCCGACGAGCGGGCGGTTTTCTCGTGCTACGCTCGACGGGGGGATTCCTGGTGCCTCGCGAACCCCTTCCAGCTCCCCCAGCGGCCGAGCTGCCAGCGCCTCTCCAGGAACGGCACGTATAGGCCCGAAATGCCTCCGGCAAAATCGCTCCCAAAGCGGCCGAGGTGGACGGATGTCTCGAGCTTCGCGGAGCCACTCCAACTTTTTATGTTGCATCCTCGGGGACCTTGTCTGTCCCCTCTGGGCCCTGTCCGCGTCGAGTCGGTGTCGAATTCACGTCGGACTCGTCGGATCCGTGTCGAATCCGTGTCGAATCCGTGTCGACTCCGCATCGAATCCACGCCAAGTCCGCGTCGAGTCAGCCTCGAGCCCGCGTCGGGCACACGAAAAGACACCAATTTTTAGGGACAGGCGAAGTCCCCCGAAGATGCAACGTAACAGACCCCCTCGAGCAATGCAAACATCGCTGGGGGCCCACGTCAGGACAAACTCATGACGTCGGGGGCCCGGGGAGAAAGCCTTCTCAGAAGGCTCGGAAGCCCCCCCGGCCTTCTGAGGAGTTTTGAACGCCTTCCGTCAAGACACAAAAAAAAACTCCCCGGAAGGCCCGATGGGCTTTTGAGAAGCCTCGAGGCCCTCTGAAAACATGTATTTTTCTTCTCATGTCCCCCCCTCGCTCGCCGCCGAGGCGGGTCCCTGGCCTCGCCCACGCTGTCGACCGTCAGCTGGAGCTGCGAGCTGAGCGCCTGCTTCGCCACCCCGTCCTCGGAGCTCTCGCTGGCGTTCGTCGTCGGGGGCGCCACCTGCGCAGGGGTGTATCGAGGAGGAAGGGCTGCCAAACACACCCCCAGGGCCGCGGATGCCCCGAAGAACCTCCAGATGCAGCGCGAGCGGTTTCAGGCGCGACCGAGAGCGATCACCCGCAGAGAAACAGTGAAACGACATGTTACGTTGGAAACGAGTGATGGTACACATCCACAAGCGCACATACACACGTACCCTGACGCAAACACGCATACAAAACCACAGACACACACGTACACCCCCCCCACACACACAGACACACACGCATGCACGCAAGCTCGCACGTACGTCACACACACATACACGCACATACACATGCCGACACAGACAATCACGGACAAAACCCACACGCATGCACTCACACTCACACGCACACGCGTGAGCATTCAGCAGGCATTCGGGGACACACGCGTACTCTCAGGCAGCACGCATTCACGTACACAAATGCATGTACCCATTGACACACATACGCACGCCCACACAAACGAACAAGCATACGCGGACTGGCGTACACAAGCATCAGACACATACGAAATTCAACATGGCGGGCACAGCAGTCAGCGGCGCAGGGTCCGCAGGCGCGAGCAGAAGATGGAAATGGTAATTGCGATCGGACGTTGTCGAAAACACGCGGTAGAAATAGTGCACACTGTCAGATGCAGGAACGGATGGTGTGAAAGAGGAGCTGCAATCCAAACGAGACCACGCTGGACGCCGACAGACACACGCACACGCACGCTGTCGAGAGAGAGAGAGAGGAAAAAAGAGAGAGAGAGAGAGAGAGAGAGACGGAGAGAAAACAAAGGAGAGAGAGAGAGAGAGATGTGTGTGTGGCGTCGCGGACAAGCGCGCAACAATGCGGCGGAACCGGGCGAACTGCGGAAAGCGGCGGCGGGCCCGCGCGGCGGGCCCAGCTCAGCGACAGCAGGGCGCGCATGGCACACCGCGCGATGCACGTCATCGCGGGGGGGGGCACCCTCGAGGAAGGACGAGAAGGCGGCCGACATCGGCAACGGGAGGAAACGGGCAGGAACCAGGAACAAAACGGAAATGCGCAGGCAATGAGCGAGCGCACCCAGAGAACAATGGCAAACGAGTAAGGACACATATACGCACACAAACACACATGCACACCGACGCCAACGTTGACGCCACCTGGGCGTGATGCGATATAGCGGATAAGTTGCTGAAGCGCGCAATGCCTGGGCGTAAAGCCACAAGAACACAGGCACACTAAGTAGACCCAACCCGCATGCGCAAGCAGTCGAACAAACAATAACGAGGGCAAGTGGGCAAACCACGCAAGCAAGCAAGCAAGAAAGCAAATGCGGCAGCCAGAAGCCAAGCGAGCAAAAACAAGCACGCAAGCAAGCGACGCGAACCCACATGCGAGGGCAAGCAACGCAAGCAAGCGCACACGCAGCGAGGCAAGTAGGCGAGACATACAGCGAACACGCAAGCGCGAAATTAAGCAGACAAGCGAGCCGCAACAAGCACATGGTCCGCCGACGCACATTTGCCCGGGGTGAGCAACTTCTGCTGGAATCGCGTTTCCCCGACGCCCAGAAACCCACTGGCGGAAGGCTGGGGGTGGGCATTACGAGGGATTGTAAAGGCCACCCTTCCCCAGCATGCAGGGAATCGCTAGCTAAAACTCAACGCTGGAAGGTACAGTGCAAGAATGGCAAGGCCTACTGGCCTGAGACTACCCCCGCGTCCCTCGGCAAAAACGTCGCTAAAGGCGCCAAAAGGGGTAATTACGATCGTTTGTGCCAGTTGCGGCCTCATCCGTGCGCTGCTCCACGCCGTTTGCAACTGATTCCTCTTTCCAGCAAAAAAAAAAGCGCGACGCCAGGTCTGGCGGCGGCCCCCACGCGAGAACGTCCATGCCCTGGCCGCGGATCACAAGCAGGTCGTCCGAAGTTGTGGCCTTCGACAACATGACGTGCTGGTGCAGCAAGAGGCTGTCCTTGTCGCCGGCGTCTTTGCAAGCTGCGTCGACGATGATCCCTTCGGGCATGGTCTGGGCCGGATGGCAGAACCCAAGGAGGCAGCTCTACTTCGGATATGGATAACATCGCTTTCTTCACCTCCCAAGAGCCCACGAGAGTGGCGTCGGTTGCGCGGCTGGTACCAACCTGGGAGGGGAGGTGAGAACGCGTTCCGCTGGACTTCCCTCGCGAGAGCTCACGAATGAGGTGAACGTCGCGCAGTCGGCAACGCCCGGGTGAGCGAACCCTCGTATGAACCTGGGCGGCGCCGCGCTCCTTGGACCTCCCACGAACTCATGAAACCGGCGACAGATGCGCAACTGGCACCACCAAGAGAATTGAAGTTTTGAAGTTTGTTTTTATAATAGTGTGTATATATATATATATATATATATATATATATATGAACACCGCATTGCCCAGGAGCTCACGAGAGTTGCGGCAGATGCGCACCTGGAAGCGCCCAAGGACATCCCAGGAGATCACGAAAGCGGCGGCGGCTGCACAGTTGGCAACTGCTGGCAGCACCCAGGGACGCGAGGCAGGGAGCAGGTAGATGTATGGTTGAAGGCGGGAGGGAAGGGGGGCGGCGGGAGGATGCTGGAGGAGAAAACAACATTGGAATCCACTGCCCCTCTGTTGTGGGGCAGTTCAATAGGACGGGCCGCGGAGGGCAAAGGGTTTACACAGAGGACTCCGTGAATTGAGTATGGGTCGGATTTGTAATGCGTCAAACAAAGCGCACATGCCCCACACACAAACCTTTGCTGCATATAAGGACCGATGAACTTTCGCTTTGCGTCGTCCCCGTCCTCGCGACCCCCTCCTCATCCCCCCTCTTAGCCATCACGGTTATTCCCTTCTCCCCACGCCTGTTTTGTCTACCTTCCTTCCCCCCCTTGCCAGAAGAAAGCTGGATTAATATCGCGCGCCACACGTTCGCGTCAGCTTGTTGCCGTCCGCGCGATGTTCAAGACAGTGCAAATAGTCAAGTCGAAGGGGGTGGCCAGCGTAAGCGTTTGGACCTCGATCCAAGCGTCGGCGGCAAATTGCTGCCTTTGCCGCCATCCGAGTAAGTGTACCATGCGTTTGGCTATGTCGTTGCACAGCTGCGTTAATGTTGTCCACGAGGTGATTTGGGAACCAATGTTCGACGCTTCGCGTACCCCCGCCAGCCCATCCAAAAACATCGCCAAGCGCGCTCCTGTGACCCAAGAAGTATAGATGCATGCAATCGAACCTCCGCCCTCAGAGATACGCGGGACACCGAATCCCTTCCGCCATTGAGAACTCATCCAGCTGCGCACCATTTTCGTTCATAACTGATGCCCAGGCAAGTTGTCTAAGGAGCCTCGTCGAGGCCTCCTGGAACCATCTTGGGGGGAGGGAGAAAAGATGGAGAAGGAACTGGCGTCGGGGGGGGGCAGGGAGGACGAAGTGAACGCGCAGAGGAAAGAAGGGGGAAGCATTCTCGGACCTTTAATCACACGGGTGTTGGAGGACTATTCGGGCCATCTTGTGATCATGTTGTAACCCTCTCGGGCGTCCTCTTGGGGCCCACTCGGCGCGGGTCGGCCGCTATCTTTATAGATCTGAGGCGGAAAGGGGCAGGAAACGGAGGACGAGGAGAGGGGAATGAGGAGGGCGAAGAGGAGGGTGAGCAGGTGGCAGGAGAAAAGGGAGTGAAATTGGAAGCCACGTCGATGAATGTACGGACCGCTTGAGTCAGATTGGAGGCAATATTGGGCCATCTTGGACGTTTCACCTATTGCGGGTTTCCCGCCCTTTTTTAGTCCCAGGGGAGGCTAGGGGAGGTGTGGATCCATCCCCGAAGGGGAAGAATGGGGGCTGGCCTTCGAGATGGCGTTCGAGTGACGTTACCCAATTCACAGATATTCTTGTGATCTGTGTACACAGTTATTCTATTGATATGTGTAA